AAATGTAAATACCCGTCAGCCACTAAAAAGCAAATAATCAGACATGTCAATCAAACAATAAAAGTATTATTTTCGAAATTTTCGAACGCTAAAATCTTACCACATGGCATCATGCGATATCCTTTATAACGGAGGTTTACGTCCTTCCTTAATTTTCTTCCGATCAAGCACAATGCCTCCCACTCTCGCGTGATACATAACAAAGCAAAGAACACCGAAGTGACTCAGTGCTTTATGCTAATATTTGGCAACTCCGTGTGCAAGGGCTTTGTTGCTTGGTAATATCAAGTGTTTACAAAGGGCACTGTAGGTATTTGACACAAAAGGTAGAATAAATTACATCCGAAATTAATGGCCAGAATTCAAGTTAATTGAGGTATAAAGAAGGTGGCCTCTCATTTTTACCGCAAAAATTTATTTATTTAATTGTTTTTCTTCAGAATTTAGTTTATCAGTTTGTCTGTCTAGTTGTTAATGAACTGATCTGCTACTCATATAGACTGTAGACTTCCGGACTTGCAGAAATCAGACCTGCAGACTACAGGATTAGCCTTTCCAAATGTCCTTTTAAAAATACCATCGGAAAGCCTCTACCGTTTCAGCATCAGCTATAGGAGACCTAGGAGACTGACATTAACAAGAAACTCGGGCGAGGAACGCTCTTCTTTGGCAATGAGTCCGCACCTTTTTTTTTTTTCTCTGTGTCCACCGGTAAATGACTAGCAGCCGGTCAAGCTTTCCAAGTCACTAAATGACTGACAGACCCATCTCTCTAGATTTGTCTCTACGGGTAGATAAACCTATCTACCAGATCTTGGTTTAGGCATTTAACTAAGATGTTTGTACTACTTGTGTTACAGCCGTTTAGTGTTTTGAAAACCTTGATCGGGCATGTCGATCATATTCTATAGTAGCCACAGAACTTAAGATTCGGTCCGACTTTTTAATGTAGGAAAGTTAGGTTATTTTGTTGGTTCCAAAATAGGATAAATGCATTGGGGAAAAAAATTAAAGGGAAACAGCTTTCTTCACAGAGTTAAAACTACAAAAAGAAGCTTCCTCCCCGGCGGGGAATCGAACCCCGGTCTCCCGCGTGACAGGCGGGGATACTCACCACTATACTACCGAGGATGCCAATATATAATACTAGAGAAAAGGAATAACTTTATATCACCCCCTTATGGTAACCCAGCAGTTCACTTATATGTGTTCAGAATTTTCGCTTTTTTCTGAAACCTACAGAATATATAAGCTGTGCTCTCCATGCCTCTGTATGTTTTTTATGCCTGGTTACCTCTAGTCTATTTCACGCAGGGCTCGTATACAGGAGAGAGGCAGGGGGCTCGAGCTCCGATATCCACAAAAATCTCATCCGTCGACAGATATCGATCTCTTGCAGCCTCGATGAACTGCCTGTGATACCACGTAATCACGCTCGCGCCATCGGCTCCCCTGTCTACCAAGTAACCGGCCAGGTCACTCTTTATTCGAACCCAGAGCAGCGGTGGTATACGTCGTATTGGGGGAGTCCAGTACTGATACACGTCGTCCAAAACCTTATCGTCACAGGATAGTAAGTCCTCTATTTCTGTACCCGTTAGACCACTTTTGGAGGCAGTGATGTAAGCAAGAACGTGTTGCACTAATATTCGCCCATGCTGCGTCTCAATCCGCTCAAACAGCGCGTTAACTGCTCCTAGAAACATTGTTTTATAATAGTTGTATTAGACTTAGAGTTATACTCGGAGAAACGAAAAAAGGCGTAAGCAGCACTCTACAGTGGATGTTACCCTTATTAGAAGCCCTCTTTTCTATCCAATACTCCCTACTACTGCAATCAATGTTTTTTGGAAAATATTCTTCAAATACAGTATACAACATTAATAATAGGAGGAGAGGCAACAAAGGATTTCGATTATTTTAAAAGGCTTTTTATGCAATTTGAGTGCATTCACATTGAAGGAATATGAGCGTTGAAGCGAAAAAGGTAACAGTTATTGGTATAGTGGTTAAATATCGCTTGGTGAGCTGTTCAGCTTACCCCTCACTGTCTCCTGTAGGACAGTTTCGTTTGGTAATGAGTAGGACTTCCATCTTATGGCTTCATCAAATGCCACCCGGATAAATATTGGCAAGGAACACTTTTCCAAAGCATTGCAGACAATGGATTGCTGTGATGGTGACAGACCTCTCCCCGCAATACTCAACCAGTTGCTCAGTATTCGAAACGCATCATCTTCAGGCAACTTGGGAACTTCCACAAAGTTTTCATCAGGAAATAACGACTACAACAAGGAAAAAACATCTTCTTACAATAGGATGTAGTGACTAAACAAATCTTTAACACTTAGATTGTTGGAAAATAGGCTCCTGGAAATGGCAATTCCTTTTTCATTTCTTTTGTTGCTAGTTTATGGCCCATAAGGATGACTTGTTGAAACAAAGGGTGCGTTTTTGAGGGGAAAATCCAAATCCGAATTGTTAAAACCATAAAACCGCATTTTGTCTGGATTCTTCAAATCAAATCCAAATACACCATCTGAGCGAATTTTCGGAAAGGATTTTTGACAAGCGGTTTTCCTAACAAAAATTGGTACACAAATACCTTGCATGCATCACATTCTCATTGAATCTATGTTGGTGGTACTCTATTGTTTTAGCTCCTGACAGACGTTTGCGTGTTAATTGTTTTGTTTTATTTTGTTTTCCTCTCCCTCTTCTTCTCCGTTTTTTTTTTTTTTTTTTTTTTTTTTTTTTTTTTTTTTTTTT